ATGACTTTTGTCGGAGATTTCCTTCGTTCGAGTATGCGTCATGGCCCAGGTCGGATATCAATGTCGGAGAAGCTCCTGGCCTTATCGATGCTTTGACAGATGGTGTAGATCTGGAAAGTGGAGCGAGAGGCGGAAGCGACGCGATGGAGGCAATGTCCAGAGAAACTTATCGATGTTGTCGGCAAGAGCGGAGGGTGAGAGAACCAGATACAGGGAAAGCAATGCTCGGACTGGGTTCTTCTCGGATCTCCCTATGGTGGCTTTGATTTGCTCTGTTTCTAGTCAGTGTAAATAAAGAGACGAAATTGCAAGCTAGATTGAGGGTTTTTTCCGGTGAGTTTTTGTGGTTTTCCTTGTAAATGAGCAGGACAAAGAATTAGTAGAAGAGATTGGCTTGTTCTTGGTGTGGGCGGTGGTTTTGTAGCTGGGGTGGTGGGAACGGCGGGGAGTGGAGGTTGGGGTTTTGGGTTTGTGTTTTAGGGTGGTAGGTTCTAGGTAGAGAGTAAGGACAACCATTTTTGGGGGGTGGAAGGAAAGATGAGAAGCTTGCTAATTGGAGTTGCTTCTCGAGGAAGGGATTAGAGGAGGAGGAGGAGAAGAGGAAGAGGCATGCGAGAGGGAGAGGGATCCAAGACTCTGCTCTATCTTCTCTTTCATTTCCTTTTTTTTACCAGTTAAATGTTTTTTTTTTTCTGAAGGGTTCAGTTAAAATAATAATAATAATATTTCCAACTTGGAATAGTAAAGAGTAAAAGTTGCCACGTCTGCATAAACCGTTAGTCCAGTCAGCATTCGTGATGTTTCTATTAAAGTTTGTGACAGGATGGCTATATGAGTGTATTTTTCAGAATTTGACTATATTTGTCACAATGCGAATAGTTATGGCTATAGGTGTCAAAACATAGCCCGACTCGATTAACCCTCCCGATCAACCTGACCCGCAACCCGACCGCAACCCGAATTGACTAAAAGTCAACAACCCGTAACCCGCCTGACCCGCAACCCAACTAACCCGCAACCCGACTGACCCGCAACCCGATTAACCCGAACCCGATTGACCCGCAACCCGACTGCCCCGCAACCCGATTAACCCGAACCCGATTGACCCGCAACCCGATTAACCCAAACCCGATTGACCCGCAACCCGACTGCCCCACAACCCGATTAACCCGAACCCGATTGACCCGAACCCGACTAACCCGTAACCCGACCGACTCAACCCGAATTTCATCTAATCCACTGAATAATTATAAAAATATAAAATACATAGTTTTTCAAAATAAAGTTTTTCATTCTAAACTTAAGTAAAAATATTTTTTTATTTCGTATAAGAAATTTAAAAAATACGAAACTCACTTGATTTTACGTATTTTAAGAAAATTACCAAAATTGAAACATGAAGGTCACTTGAGATCATGACAATATTAATATAATATATAAATTAAAATTTTGATTAATTTAACTATTCAATAAAATTATCAATTAAATATAAATAAAGTAAAGTAATGTATTTGGTAATTTGATGTTTTTAAAAGAAGAGGGAAATTTTGGTGTATTCAAGTTTTTGGGAAGAGAAAGAAGAGGGAAATTTGGTTCTTTGAATTTTTTTAGAAAAGAAACAAGTGGGAATTTTGGTGGTTTTGATATGTGGGAAGAGAAAGAAGTGGGAAAGTTTGACTCTTTTGATTATGAAAGAGAAATAAAGAGGGAAACTTTTGACTTTTCAACTTTTTGTAGAAGGAAAGAAGAGGGTAATTTGGTTCTTTCAATTTTATGGAAGAGAAAGAGGAGGGAAAATTGAGTTTTTCTAATGTATGGAAGGAGAAAGAAGGAGGGGAATTTTAGTATTTTTGTGAAAAGAAAGAAGGAAACAAATTTGGTGTTTTCAATTTTTTGGTTTTTCATAATTTTAGCTTTTGAAATATGAATCTTGAACTTTTACATGGAGGGCATGACTAGTTAAAATTATTCTTATATGTTTTGAAGGCTAATATGTATATATGTATGTAATTGTTTATGGGCTAATAAATGAATTAACCATTAGTTACAACAATTTATACTAAACTTGATAAGTAATCTTTGACGGTTCGTTGTTTAGGATATAAAGTATATGGTTAGGGTATAAGGTATAAGGTACATATGGTTTATGGTGTATATGGTTAGGGTATAAGATATTGATGGTTTTGACGGTTCTAAGTTTTTTATTAACATATGTTCACTTGAAGTCATTTGAAGTCTTTAACGGCAGGAGATCCCTTTTTAATTTATGTTTATGGTACGTGGTTAGGGTACAAGGTATGTGGTGTAAAGTATAGGATATATGGTTAGGGCATAACAATTAGCAAATATCACTTTTTATCTATGTTTTGAAAATCAAAGTATGAATTTCACTTTTAAATTAACTATACTAGCAAAATCACAACTCAAGGACATATGGTTAGGGTATAGGTTATGTGGTTAGTGTATAATATTTTGATGGTTTAGGGTATACAATCAACAACATATACTAACTTAATATTGTTGATTGAGGGTAAGGCTAAGGGTATAGGATATATGCTATTGAGTAAGTTATGATTGAAGTCACAATAATTTTACTAAATTTGATAGCTAATCTTTAATGGTTCAATTTTTAGGATAATTCAAACAATTTTACAAATAACTCGTTTGGCAACAGTTTACTGAAGTTATTTGGGCAATGAGTTATTTTGAAATAACTCCTTTTATCACTATGCTTTTGCCAATTACCACACGCCAAATACCAGATTTGCATGGTTATACTAAACGAGATACTTTAATTCAATTACTACTGAATTAATATTAAAATATCAAATAAACAATTAACGATGTCTTTTGGTTGCAAATATTGATATCACCATTACTATTAGCTATAATAATTTACCAATTATGATTAATTACATAACAAGTTTGCAAGTCATACAAATTGATTTAAAATTTTGACTAATTTTTTCAAAAAAATAAAGTGTATATATACGAGGTCGAAATAAATTGGTTAAAAAGTTGAGAAAATGTTTTAAATTAGTGTAATAAAATGTGTAAGTTGGTAATGAGTAATGAGCAATGAGTTAAGTTACTTGATGCGCTGGCCCGAACAACCCGAAACCCGACCCGCCCGCAACCCGCCCGACCCAAAACCCGATGAACCCGCAACCCGATTTGCCCGCAACCCGATTGAACCCGAACCCGATGAACCCGCAACCCGACTAACCCGCAACCCGTTTGAACCCGAACCCGATGAACCCGAACCCGATGAACCCACAACCCGTTTGAACCCGAACCCGATTGAACCCAGCCCGAACCCGCCCGAACCTGCCCGATTGACACCTATAGTTATGGCTATAATTATTATATCATACAATATATACTTTTTCAAAATAAAGTTTTTTATTTTAAACTTAGGTAAAATTTATCTTTCACTTCGTATACGGGATTTAAAAAATATGAAACTCCCGTGATATTATGTATTTCAAGAAAATTACAAAAATTGAAACATGAACGTCACTTGAACACTAAGTTCTTTAACAAAATTAAAAAAGTAAATATGAAATATAAGATCAACACAATGTCAATATTAATAATGAAGAATTAATAATTGAGATCATGGACAATATTAATATAATATATAAATTAAAATTTTGGTTAATTTAACTATTCAATAAAATTATCAATTACATATAAATAAATAAAGTAATATATTTAGTACTTTGATGCTTTTAAAAGAAGGGGAAATTTTTGGTGTATTCAACTTTTTGGGAAGAGAAAGAAGAGGGAAATTTGGTTATTTGAATTTTTGAGAAAAGAAACAAGGGATAATTTTGGTGGTTTTGATTTGTGGGAAGAGAAAGAAGTGGGTAAGTTTGGTTCTTTTGATTATGAAAGAGAAATAAGGAGGGAAATTTTGAGTTTTCAACTTTTTGTGTAAGGATGGAAGAAAGAGGGAAATTTGGTTATTCAATTTTATGGAAGAGAAAGAGGAGGGAAATAACTAAGTTAACTATTAGTTACAACAATCATCTGTTTTACATATCACTTAATTTGTCTACTTGTTTTCTATGCTTCTACATTTATTGCAACTTCAACACTACATGATCGTTGTTTTACAACATTTATTAGTAAAATTTTGGCACATTTAAGTTGTGTTCGTGTGAACTTTTATTTCAAAATGGGAGTTAAACTTGGCATGTTAAGTCATAGGATTGCAATAACTCAGTCAGGTTGTGGGTTTTAAAATTTTGGTTAATCGGGTTGCGGCCTTGCGGTCACTTTGGAATGGGAAATGAGAGAGAGGTTTGGGTGGGAACTTTGGAATGGAAAATTTATGGGCCGGTGAATATGAGCCAACAATTATACTAAACTTGATAACTAATATTTGACGGTTCGTTGTTTAGGGTATAAATGTACAGATGGTTTAAAGTGTATATGGTTAGGGTATAAGGTATTGATGATTTTGACGGTTCTAAGTTTTTTATAACATATTTTCACTTGAAGTCATTTGAAGTCTTTAACTGCAGGAGATCCCTTTTTAATTTATGTTTATTGTACGTGGTTAGGGTACAAGGTATATGGTGTAGAGTATATGATATATGGTTAGGGTATAGCAATTAGCAAATATCACTTTTTTATTTGTGTTTGGAGAATCAAAGTATGAATTTCACATTTAAATTAACTATACTAGCAAAATCACAACTCATAAGGATATATAGTTAGGGTATAGGGTATGTGGTTAGTGTATACGCATTGATGGTTTAGAGCAATGTTGTCAAAACAGAACCAAAGCACAAACCGGTTTAGCAAACTGTCGATTCTTCCCTCTGGCCTAAATTATTGGGGATGCGCTGCGCTTGGCGCCCAAGCTCAAGTTTTTCCTATGGCATATTTTATTACGCATTCTGCCCGTGCGTGATGATATTCAACGGCTTGCGGGAGAAGAGAGTTGCCCAAAAAAAAATTACGAGTCTCCCTCACCCTCCTTGCTATTGGGCCTAAATGGGCTTGTTGCTTGGGCAGCCGGCAAGACCATCCAATTTCAATTGTGGAGACTGGAATATATCCTTGAAAGGCCCAAACCGGTTTCTTTCGTTTTCATTTTCTTCCACCGTCAGTTCACGACCAAGGGTGGCCGGGTGGACACGTGGGAACACGGAGTGCCAGCCAGCCACCGTCACCGGCGGGAACAGCGAATCACAAGCTGTCATTTTCTTCATGATCGCAGTTCTCCTCCATCACTTGCTCTGCTAGCATCCACGACCACAAGTCCACAACCATTAAGCGCGTGGATGATTTGTCCAAAAAAGAAGGAAAACAAGATTATTTTAACTCTTCCTGTTCCTTTTATTTGTTTCGATTCCTTTTCCTTTCCTGTGTTAAATTTGATTTACAATTTATTGAATAAATAAATTTGTCAACCATTCTTAATTACTTATCTGACAACCATATTTGTTTTATGTATGTATAGTCAATGAAAATTTCCTTGTTTCCCAATCAGTTGACCCCCTTCTAAGTTCTAACTCCATTTGTTTCTCACAAAATTGGTTGTCCGTCGATACTAATGGCTCCATCCTCATCAAGAGATTAACAGTAATCAATGCCATAACTAGAATGAAAATCAAAGCAACAAATAAGATGTATCGAAAAGAGTTAGAAGTTAGGTTTCGAGTTGCAAATGAATGATTAAATGATTCATTGCCAATCCTCGAATATGATTCTAGACATTCTTTCTTTTTGCTTTCGTTTGCATGCTTGGCGAGATGTAAATGGAACCATTCTAATGTCTTTCATGTTCTTAAAGAAAGTAATCAAGTCGTCACGAAATATTTTATTCAATAATAGTTGCTCTCTATTCTTTACTTCAATAATTCATCATACCCAAACCCAAAAAATGTCACTGAACTGAAAATTAAATGACATATTATATACTATGCTAATAATGAAAACGAACAGATATGTTGGAAATTTGGTTGAACCGAACTAACCAAGTCAAACCGGTTTTGGGTTGGACCGACCAACTGGTTTGGCATTAGACCTACCGAACCAATATTCTAATTTCATGAAGGGACACATCCATTTGGCCTAGTGGCGGTTGCATTATTTTATGGATAAGAATTCCCTTATGGATAAGGACAACCTTATGGATAGAGACAACCCTTCATATGGATAAGGATAACCTTTCATATGGATAAAGACAATCTTTCGTATGGATAAAGGCAACCGTTCATGAAACAATGCATGGGTTCGGCCCCTATAAATATATGTGTGGGGTGGATGGTGCCACATACCATCAAACAGATTCTTCTTCTTTCTTCCAAAAATTTATAAGTATGCTTTAGAGTTCTTGAGCCTAGAACCTAAAGTGGTGATAGCTTTATCCTCGGGAAAAATTTCCTGTAACCCACGACTTTGTAGAGGGTGGAAATATTATTTTCGGAAAGTGAAAGTAGTTCACGACTCTATCATAATTCTAGTCACCCGGTCTCGGGCTATCGTACGTATACCCTCGTCCCTAAAAGTCCCAACAATCGAAAAGAATATTTTCCGGTATAATGGCTCAAACCGATCTTTGCAAGAAACCGGTTCCGCTCTATGGAATTATGAGAATGTTCGATGATGAGTTTTTCATCGATGATAGTAGAAGATGAGTTTTCTTCATACTAGTCTCATGGTGTATTCCATATTCGGAAGGTAACTTGGAAGAGGGATGATTCGAAGATGAGGAAGAAGGAGAAGGCTTCGTAAAATGGAGAAATAGAAGGATGACAATTTCCTTTGTGTAGGTCACATATTCAATGGTTAATTTGTCTAATTCTCTATTTGACGTTTTTGAAGTTCTAGACAAAGAGACAAAATGTATATACAATTTATGATGAATCTGGTAATGGAGTCATCGTACATTTGTATGTATATGACATATTTATCTTTGGGACCAATAAAAGATAAGCGAACTTTGATAAAAAGTTGTTATTTCAATTCTCCATGTAGGACATTTGGAGGTAAATGTGATTCTGTCTATTGAATCAAGCGGTACAACAAAGAATATTCATTCTCTCAATTTTTCTGCATTGAGAAGGTACTCGTAAAGAAAATTCCTTAGTGGAAATTGTCGTGGGTTAGATACGACAATGGATCTACAAGTATGGAACTTATGGTTAATACTGACCAACCAGTTTTACAACTGGAGTATTCCATGTTAAATGGGTTTGATGTATGCATGACTTGCATGATGCTAGATATCGCATATGCGATAGAACAATTAAGTCGGTGCATGATGAATCATAGTGCTCATCATTTGAAATGAAGTGAGGCGTGTACTAAGATATCTCAAAGGCACATTGTATTGAGTTATAGTGGCTTTCCATCCATTTTTGGAAGAATTTGTTGATGTTAGTTGGATTTCTCATGTTAAAGGTGATACTTCAACATTGAGATGGGTCTGCTTGCTTGGGGGAGGTGCCATATTTTGGGCCTCTAGAAAGCAAACTTGCATCACTAGTTCCACTATGGAGTCAAAGTTTGTGGCCTTGATTTCTCTTAGAGAAAAGACATTATTGCTGAGATGCTTGGTTTATGACATTAATTTATGGAAAAACCATTCTCACCTATTACTATTCTTAGTGATAGTAATGCTACTTTGGCTAAGGAATATAAGCAAGTGAAAATAACAAGTTCGGTCATGTGGGAGTAAGGCACGGTAAAATATGTGAACTGATCATTCATAGAGTTGTGTCTAGACAATATGACAAGACTAGAGATAATTTGGTTGATCATTTGACGAAATGGTTAACTAGTGACTTGGTGATACAATCTGTGAATGAGATGAGTTAAAAGTCCATATAATTTCTGGTAATGGGACACCCAATTCTCCTCTAATACAACATTAGAGGTTGAATTCAATGTGGAAAGCTTATTATCAGAAATTGAAGCACTAAATTTGTCATCCCGAGGTATGTGCTTGTTATCCTGCATGAGAGAAGAGGATGAAGTTCAAAACTTCTTAATTGAATCTTTGACAAAGTGTATTATGCGGGTACACGAATAAAAGATTCGACCTACGTAAGCATGAAGTGTAGCCGCTTCAAGAAACCAGCACTTTGGTTTCGTGTGCGCTTATGAGAAGGATTGGACACATGGAGGTTAATAGTGTCAAAGCACTTAGAAGTTTGAAAACTTAAGTGTATATTATCTTCGAATATTCATATGAGTCAATGGGTTCAATCGTTAACCACACCCTTTGTATTCGAGTATTTGTCAAGTGTAATATACTAAGATGAGAATTCAATCGTCACGACATTTTCATTTATGCTTAAGTTTTGTTGGAAGAATGTTGTGATTTTAGCGAATTCTATGCATACACTCAAATGGGGGAGGAATGTTGGAAATTTGGTTGAACCGGACCAACCAAGTCAAACCGGTTTTGGATTGGACCGACCAACCGGTTTGGCATTAGACCGACCAAACCAATATTCTAATTTCATGAAGGGACACATCCCTTTGGCCTAGTGGCGGTTGCATTATTTTATGGATAAGGATGTCCTTATGGATAAGGACAACCTTATGGATAGAGACAACCCTTCATATGGATAAGGATAACCTTTCATATGGATAAATGCAACATTTCGTATGGATAAAGGCAACTGTTCATGAAACAATGCATGGATTCGGCCCCTATAAATATATGTGTGGGGTGGATGGTGCCACATACCATCAAACAAATTCTTCTTCTTTCTTCCAAAAATTTCTAATTATGCTTTCGAGTTCTTGAGCCTAGAACCTAAAGTGGTGATAATTTTATCCTCGGGAGAAATTTCCTTAAACCAAGGCTTTGTAGAGGGTGACAATATTCTTTTCGAAAAGTGAACGTAGTTCACGACTCTATCATAGTCTTAGTCACCCGGTCTCGGGCTATCTACGTATCCATCTTCTTCCCTGCAATTATGGAGAAATTAACTTTCTTCCCGCTGCCCTTTTCCTTGTAGAATAACACTTGCCAAGAAGATAAAATCTTTACAACTATGAACCCAAATAAGTAATAACCAAAGTGCATGAATAAACTAAACTTAATGAAGCCACGTTAGTTGCTTGATCTTGCTACGCTGCTCACATGCCAATCTATGATAACGTTCTCACTCGCAGTCGCAGGGGTGTGCGATTGTTTGTGTTGAATGCTATGTATGAAGAAAACGAGAACGCGGAAATCGAAACACGAGACAAGACTTTTACGTGGTATCCTCGTTCGTTGTGAACGAGACTAATCCACAGTGAGCTCGAAGGAGCTCACGGCTGATGATTGTATTATGACTGACAATAACACGTTTGCTTGCTTATAACAGGTTTATAGCTAAGCAATATATAGACTAAAGGACAGGGCAACTCGGTTGAATCCAGGACTAGAGTTTGACCTAAACAAGGAAGGGAACAATCCTTTAATGACTAGAACTAGGACACGACTTGCTTGCACAACAAGTAACGGCAAGTGACACGTAACACTCCCCCTCAAGCGCGAGCATGGATATCCAACATGCCAAGCTTGGAAAGAAGTTGCTGAAAATGAGCCGAACCCAACCCTTTAGTGAACAAGTCAGCCGGCTGGTCAAGTGTGGCGATCTTGCAGGTGACAATGTCGCGAGACTGGACACGCTCGCGGACAAAATAACAATCCATTTCGACATGTTTAGTACGCTCATGAATGACCGGATTGTTGGAGATGTGCAGAGCAGCTTGGTTATCACAGTAAAGAGGTGTTGCTGAAGGTGTGGGGAAACCAAGCTTTGTCAGTAGCCAACGAAGCCAAATGATCTCACTGACAGTAGTAGCCATGGCGCGGTATTCAGCTTCGGCAGAGGAACGAGCAACAACATATTGCTTCTTTGTGCGCCAAGAGATGGGAGCACCTCCTAGACGAACAAAATAACCTGTTGTTGATCGACGCGTGAGATCCATGTTGTTGACTGCCGGGAAAAACAAACCCCGACCAGGGGACTGTTTTAAGTATCGCAGGACTCGAATGGATGCATCAACGTGAGCCTGTGTCGGATTATGAACTGCTTGACTGAGAATGTTTACGGCACACTGAATATCCGGACGGGTGACTCTGAGGTAGAGTAAACGACCAACCAAACGACGGTAACCGGACGGATCAGCAGCCGGTTGTGAAGAGAGACGATCGATTTGATGATTTTTTTCGATGGGGGTGACTGCCAGACGAGCACCCTCTAGCCCACAATCAGCCAAGATGTCCAACACGTACTTGCGTTGATTGAGGACAACTCCATACTGGGAACGAGCGACTTCGATCCCGAGGAAGTACTTCAACGTGCCCAAATCTTTTATAGTGAACTGTGCATGGAGAAAATCTTTGACACGTTGAATGAACGTAGGATCATTACCGGTGAGGATGACATCATCTACATAGATGAGAGCAGCAACAAAGGTAGCACCAGCCCGATGTACAAAAAGAGAGTGATCTGCCCGACTTTGGACGAAATCAAGACTAACCAAGGCACGAGAAAATTTTTGGTACCAGTTTCTCGATGCCTGACGAAGACCATATATGGACTTGTGCAACCGACACACCCTTGTATCGCCTGCTCGTGCAAACCCTTGAGGAACAGCCATGTAAACTTCCTCATCGAGGTTGCCATGCAAGAAAGCATTATTTACGTCAAGTTGGTGAAGGAGCCAGTTCTGACTAACTGCAACGGTAATGAGACAATGGACCGTTACTAGTTTAGCGACAGGAGCGAAAGTGTCGTGATAATCGATACCTTCGATTTGTGTGAAACCCTTCGCTACGAGCTGTGCTTTGTAGCGATCAACAGTCCCGTCGGGTTTATATTTGACCTTATAAACCCATTTTCAGGAGACAATGCGCTTGTTGGCGGGCGCATTAATGAGAGACCACGTACCGTTAGCTTCGAGCGCCGCTATTTTGGCTTGCATGGCGTCACGCCAGTGCTTGTAACGGACAGCTTGCCAAAAATGAACAGGCTCGAAGACTGTATCAACACGAGCCACATATGCCTTGTACGTTGGGGATAAACGGTCAGAAGTGAGGCGATCACTGATAGGGTAGCGAACCTGAGCTGAGTTGGCTCGACGGCCGGGAAGGTCCACATCATAGTCTCGGAGGCGTATGGGAGGCTGGGATATCCGAGTGCTATGACGAGGAGCTTGGACGGGTTCTTCCACTGGCGGAGACGAAGCAGGTGTCTCGCTGGAGCCCTCTGCTGGAGATGACGTCCCAGGGGCGTCTGGTTCTGGTGAAGTGTGCAGGAGGGTCTCGGCGCTGCTTGGCGTGGCTTCCGCAGGCTTAGGTGACGATGGTGCGTCCATTTCAGCTGCATCATCCGCTTCTAGGGAGTCAGCAACCTCTTGAACCATGGTAAAGAGGTCCGCGTCGCCATGGTCATAAACATCGGCTGGAGGCCAGGCAGGTCGCGGGACGTCATTTGTTGACGGAGGGATCCCAAGATGCTGGAAAGGAAATTGATTTTCCAAGAAAAACACGTCGCGGGATGTATAGATGACTTGGCGGTCGATGTCGAACACGCGATATCCTCGCTGGGCGGCAGGATATCCGACAAAGATTCCCGGTTTCCCACGAGCAGCAAACTTGGAGAGTCCCGAATGGGTGTCATTAGCGTAGACCAAACATCCAAAGTGGTCTAACCGGTGTTAAGCCGTTAATGAACCGTTAACTTATAAACAAAAATATTATAAATAGACACATGATTACACATCCAACGTTCTAAATCAATACATATATGAATGTTAAACAATAATTTCCAACTATAAAATACCCAAATTTGTTAGTAACAGGAAAAGTGATGATCAAGCTCTAACGTTACTGTGAATGAATTATGGGAAAAACAAAACTTAATGGGGTTGCATAGTGCATCCAAGAGGCAGAGAAAATTTGCTAAAACTGGAGCATTGCAAAAAATGCCAAACCCCCCGCGCAATGAAAAGTGAAAACAGGTACCACATCGAAAGGAATGAAAAATCTCAAACTTCCTTCATGTATATACTATATAATACAAAGTGGTGTCCCTCTTTTCAAATTGTAACTGTTAAAACCCAACGAACAGCGTTAAAATAAAGGTTTAATACACTTGTATATCCAAAACTTTCACGATTGTTCTAATAATATTCAAATTTTCCGAAATACCACTTATATCCATGTTTTAAAGTTGTTCTTTGCCAAATCTATCCATTTTCCAATATATTTTTGGTTAAATACACTTGTATATCCAAAAACACCGGTAAAGAATGTGAAGAAATTGGATATAAGTGGTATTTCGGGAAATTTGGTTATTGGTACAACCGTGAAACTTTTGGATATACAAGTGTATTTAACCTAAAATAAACTGCGAGATTTGGTCTTTTGAGTTTTGGGTTGTAAAGCCCATTGTAAAATCTTTATGTTAAAAATTTTGGTTGCGGAATGATAAAACCGGATGGCCGGTCAGAACGGTCTGGGCGGTTTTTACTTCCGTCCGCTATCTGGCCGGCCATTTTAGCCGTGGCGGTTATATATAGCTAGTCCGAGCCAATCTTGTGGCTGGGTCATGGTTTTACCGTCCGACTGTCCGGCTCGGCTTTGATAATAGTGGTTTAAAGTATACGATCAACAACATACACTAACTTAATATTATCGATTGAGGGTAAAGCTAAGTGTGTAGGATATATGCTATTGAGTAAGTTATGATTGAAGTCACAACAATTTTACTAAATTTGATAGTTAATTTTTAATGGTTCAATTTTTAGGATAATTCGAACAATTTTACAAATAACTTGTTTAGTAACAGTTTACTGAAGTTATTTGGGCAAAGAGTTATTTCGAAATTACTCCTTTTACAACTCTGCTTTTGCCAACTATCACACACCAAATGACAGATTTGCATGGTTATACTAAACGAGATAATTTAATCCAATTACTACAGAAATAATACTAAAATATCAAATAAACAATTAATGGTGTCTTTTCGTTGCGAATGCTGATATCACCATTAGGGGTGGGAAACGGTTTGGTCCGGTTACAACCGGACTGGATTAACCCGGTTTTTTACAACCGTTTTGGCCATATCAGCAACCGGGAATTGGATTGGATGGGGATCCGGTTTCAACCGTGACCGGATTGATCCGGTCCGGTTTTAACCAAAAAACCTAGGTTGTGCAGGTTCCCACCAAAACGCTGTCGTCTACAAATTAAAAAAAAAAAAACAAAGTGTGGGACGCTCCGCTTCCCCTCCTCCTAGCCGCACAATTTTTATCTTCTCAATAGTCATCTTCTTTCAGTTTCTTCTCTTCTCCCTCCCCTCTAGCCCTCTTTTTTTACAAACGACGATGGCGGCGAGCCTTTCTCCTGTGAAGCCGATCAAGCAAGGCGTCCAACAACCTCTTCTCCTTCATGTTTACAGGTGATGACGAGCAGCAAGCAAGAGGCAGCGACGAGAAGACACAACGGAGAGCGGCAAGCAATACGTCGCCGAATGAAGGAAGTCCCAAGAGCGAGATCGAGATGGGGATTGAAGGAGGCGATAAGCGAAGAGGAAGGGCTTGACGATGCGATTCACCACCATCTCCTCCTCGTTTCTCCTCAACGAATCGGCCGTCGGCGAATCGGACAGGAAGGAGGCTATTGGCTGGCCACTCGACTTTTTCTCATCTTCGCCAAGCCTCCGCTGCAATTGGAAATGGAAGAGAGATCGAGGGAAAGACAGCCGCTGAGAAGAGGTGCTGCTTCTCGCAGAGGTGCGGCTGCGTGAGCCATAGCTGAGAAAGGGATTAGGGTTAGGAGGGCTTCTCTTGGGATTGGGCTTCGTGTTTTTGTTGGGCTGGGGATGTTTTTTATTTTTTGTTTAGGGCAGGCTTCATTTTACAGATCAATGGGCTGGTTTTGGGCTTATGAATTATGAATCCGGTTTTCCGGTTTTAACCGGATTGGACCGGGACAGTGGTCAGTACAACCGCAAACTGGATTGGGTTGCTTGGAATCCGGTTTTCGGTTACAACCGGAACGGTTTAAACTGCCCGGTTTCTGGTTTGACCGAAAAACCGAGACTGGATTCCCAGCCCTAATCACCATTACTATTAGCTAGTATACTTTACCAATTATGATTAATTACATAACAAGTTTGCAAGTCGTACAAATTGATTCAACATTTTGACTATTTTTTTTTAATTAAGTATATATATACGAGGTAGAAAGAAATTTGTTAAAAATTTGAGAAAAATATTTTAAATTAGTGTAATAAAATGTGTAAGTTGGTTACGAGTAATGAGTAAGTTACTCGATACGCTGACCCGAACAACCCGTAACCCGATCTGTTCGCAACCCGCCCGACCCAAAACCCGATGAACCCGCAACCCGACTAACCCACAACCCGTTTGAACCCGAACTCGATGAACCCAAACCCGATGAACCCGCAACCCGACTAACCCACAACCCGTTTGAACCCGAACCCGATTGAACCCAGCCCGAACCCGCCCGATTGACACCTATAGCGATACCAAACTTCCAACCCTAAGTAATAAGTAATTAGTCTTCTGAATATCTTTCCTATTTCGTGTTCATTGCAAACAAATATCGATCAATAATGAAAAAAATCGCCACCAAATATTCAATATTTTTCTTAAGTTTTTTTTTTTAATGTATATGCAGTTATGCACTAAGTTAAACAATATACGTGTTTCCTTTAAATAATAGATGTCAAAACCAGCAAATCAAATATCGCGACACTAGTTTAATCAAATATGATTTTATTTAAGCAAGTAAATTTGGTTGTAATTTCCAAACAACCTAATTAGACATATCCAGATAACGTCCATATCGATCCATTCAATTTCAATACGTGCATCTCAAGTTCTCAACCCTTTTAACTCTGCTTTTTGATCATCTCACAATTTAGATCACGTGAATAATTCTAATTATATGTAAATTCCAATGATGGAAGTTTGTACAAAAATTAAGGCAAAATTCATTTGTGTAGCCAAAATTTTGACGTTTGTGTCAATAATAGCCACTTTTGGCGAAATACCAAAAATAGTCAGAATTTTGAAAATTTGATGACAAATATAGCCATTTCCGTTACAAAGTTTAACGGTGTTAGAAACTCCGTCAGTTAGATGGATTTTAAGTTGACTAGGATGCCAAATCGTCAGACACGTCAGCGACAACTCAACCAAACTTGTCATATAGATGCCATATCATATTTTAATTTAAAAATAAATAAATAATTCATAAATGATTTTCCCCTCTTCTCCCTTCTCTCTCCCCTCCGACCACCCGCCGCCGCCATTCTCGATATGAGCAGTCCATGCTTGGCGTCTCCTCTCCTTTCTCCTCCTCAGTTCTTCTCATCCGGTCCCTGCTCATATCCTCAAGAATGATGGCCCAATCCAGTTGAATCCTTGCGCAGTGCAGTCCCGATCTTTCGCGGCAGCTCTGCGATTTTTTTGCCGAATCGCCGCCAACGTCGCCGCCACAATCCTCTACTCCATCGTCGAGACCACCAGCTACTTCCCCGCTGCCACGGGACACGTTCGGCGATTACTCCAAAGGAGTAATCACCATGGTTACTAGGGGTAAATTGGGTATGGAAAATAAATTTTTTTAATAAATTACATTTTAGGTAGTTACAAAAATCTAATAATTATAATTCTCTCTCTTTCTCTCACTTCCGTAATCTCCAACCAGATCCTCTTTCCTTATTTTTCTCAATCTTTCTGCAAAATAAAAAAACATGAAATCACTACCAATCCTTTAGACAACCACTATCACTTTGAAAAACATCAATACCATTGCATAAATAGATCTATACTATTACACAAAAACTACCAATATAAACAATCTACCAATAAAAATCTATACCATTTCACAAAAAATCAATACCATTGCATATTTAATCAATACCAATACATTATAATCAATACCATTACGTGATAATCAATACCAATGCGAAAAAAACAATACCAATACAACAAAATCAATACCAATGCGACAAAAACAATACCATTGAGACGAGAGGGTCGGAGATAAAAGGATGACCACCGCTGGAGATTGCTTTGACGACCTCCGCGATCCCATCGGCTCCTTCCTGTTGTGAGAGAGAGAGAGAGAGAGAGAGAGAGAGAGAGAGAGAGAGAGAGAGAGAGAGAGAGAGGGAAGGGAAGAGGGAGGGTCGTGGGATGGGGTGGGGAGTGAGGGAGTGTCGTGGGATGGTGGGATGGGGTGGGGAGTGAGGGAGGGTGAGGGGAGAGGCAGCGCCGGCGGGAGGGGAGGGTGAGGTGGGCAGGCGGCACCGGCTCCCCCTTCTCGATGGGGTCAGATTTGAGAATGTTCACTCCATTTTCGTCAACCGGATCCGAAGAAAGAGACATTTTGGGAGGCGATGAACACCGTGCTATTGGCTATGGCGCTGAATTACTCGCCGGAGAAGCTTTCGACAATGTTTCCAACTATGGGGGTCGAGTTTGACTTTGACCAGCTTGAAGGCTGCCTAGAGGTTTGCAGGTGTACGTGGGCACCGGGCTGTGGCCATGGGCTAGCACGGTTAGAGCACGGGCACGAAATAAATGGGCCAGCCTGGCACGAGCCCGAATAATTTATGGGTCGTACCGGGCCTAATATTGTCGAGAATTTATTGAGTATTAGAACGGACATGGCACGGAAATAATATTTATTTGATAGAAAATAAATATAAAAAGAATTAGGATTTTGCTATGGTGACATGCATGTCACCGTGACATGGACTTTTCGATCGACCTAATCCAAAATGCGGTCGACCAGATTGACTAATTCATGTATGTGAGGTTCCGAGACGCGGTCGACCTCTTACATAATATGATCGACCTCTTTGGTTGTCTAACAGAATGAAAGGTCGACCCAAATACCTCATAGGCCGACCCTTGTGCACCTAACAGGTCGACCGCCTTCACACCGTATCCGTATTGGATACGGATTCCAACACCAGAAAGGTTCCACAATTGGACAAGGAAACGAATTGGGTCGACCCATTCACGTCCTAAATCTCTATAAATACGAATATAAGTCCCTTTCAACGCCACCAAGTCTGAATTAGGTTTTTTTCCGATTTAGAGCCTTTGTGAAGAAGATCGTTGGCGGTTGCTATTGTACGTGTTGGAAGTGGTCGACCAGGTCTAAGGGGAGGTCGACCTGTAGCATTTGCCGTCATCTTTTCTAATGTGTGATTTCCACCGTCTAATTTAATATATTGTTGCGTGCAGAATACCATTCGGTCGACCTTGACATCAACCAGGTCAACCTGGCGAGATAATTCTTCGGATTTGAATTTAGGGCACAACACTTGGATTTCTGTACTTGCGAGGTAAAGAAGATCAACCCAATTGGTCGACCTAATGTGTTTCAAGGTCGTCGTTTATGTTTTTTTGGTTATTCAACCTGAATGTCGACTTTGGTTTTGTTTGTATGACTATGTTGTGCTTGAAAAGGTCGACCGCGCCAGATATCTGGTCGACCTATCCTTTTTTCGGTTTAATATTGAACTTACTTTTTGTTGTTAATTGTTATTTTCCTGCTGGATAGGTCGACCTAGGAAGAACAGAGGTCGACCTTAATGGTTGTGGTAGTCACTATTTGTCTTCCAGATCGACCTAATAATTTGTCAGGTCGACCACGTCTTTGTTTTTTGGTCAATTGCAGAAATTTGTAGTTGAATTATTATTTGAATTTTTCTTTAAATTTTTTAGACGATGACGCATGATGAGAGACTGCATCAAGATTTGGGTGAAATAATGAAATTGTTGAAAGCCACACAAGAGAAGCTGGTGGTGTGTCAAACACAAGTCAATGACTTTCAAAAGTCCATACGTGATAGAGTGGAGCAATTGTCAGTTCGACTGATAGATATGCCTGGGATGATGCATGATGGGTTTGAGAGGCTAGAAGGTGCTATCAAAGATATAAGTGCAGAACGAATGGAGAATGGCGGAAGAGATGGTACAGGAAAGAAATTTGACTTTGGTAAAGAGGAGGAAGACCATGATGACTATGAAAATTGCTACCAGAGCATAGACGATTTATTGAAAGAGCACAATTTAAAGGTATCCAAGTATATTCATATGTGATTGAAGATATTAGTATTACTATCATTAGTGCTAATTTGTTTTGTTTATATGTTTGACAGAGTGAAACAACGAATGGCAGCAAGGGTTCCTCTCCTAAGTACAAGAGACCTCGATATGAAAGTGAGTCCTACACCACTCCACAGAAGGATCATTTTGTAAGAAAAGGATTATTTAGTGCTGATAGCGATGAAGATGAATCTAAGAGTCCTTTCGAAAAGCACGGGGTAAGTTTACGTTACATATTCATCTATAATGTGTGTTTGTGTTCATATGTTACTTTAATTTTAACTATGATTTGTAGGTCATGAAAGTGGAGGGTCTAGAAGGATTCACCAAAAATATTCAAAATCCAGTTGAAGACTTGTATTATGTTGTTACTAAAGATAAGGCTGGGGACACGAAGTGGGACAAGTAAGACGTTTTTTTAGTATGCGTGGTCGACCGTTTATCCAATAAGGTCGACCGGGACTGTGAACAGGTCTACCTGTACGTTGCAAATCACAATTGACATTTCTGTTATTTTGATTTTTGCAGTTTGACAGTTGTTGACTTTTTCTGAAAACGTGCAACGAAATTATTTGAGTTCGGTCATTAGCGAGAATAGCTGGGTTTGCTCATCAGTAAGTACTATACTACTACGACTTTCGTATGACTTGTG